ATTGAATATATATTGTATATATATGATGGTGTTCCCCCACAACTGTTAGTATGCATTGTTTATATATCTGTTACAATTCAGAGAGTCATGAAAACATTATCATGATGAATTCATTCTTGGTTACCAACATCAAGTGAATATTTCGAATAAATAATTATCAGTTTTCCAAGCACTTACTACAAGGGCATATTGTACACTTTACTGAAACATATGATACTATTATTATAAGTATGTAAGATTTGCATCATAGTATGTTGGTATTTGATGCAGGTATATAAGTATGTGCTACGGGTACAAATACCGTTATTCAAAGTATGAATGATAGTTATTTAGGTATTATCTGTGTATTAGAAGGTATCATTAAGTGTGATCAATTTCAGTTAATTCATTGACGGAGAAGGCAATTAATAGGCTCGGTGAGAGCATTTTCTCTATTGGTCCTGCTGGAAAAGTTTGTGCATGATACATTTACGTTCAACAACTCATATTACATTTTTCAATTGCAAGACCATAGAGTATGTAGCGCTATTCGAATTTTTTTTATGTGTCATTTGTAGCATCCATCTTGCATTTTATACTCTGCATAAAGTTGTTAAAACAAATGAATATTAATTCTCCACTTCGAAACAGTGTGTATAAGACGAATGATAACCACTAACAGAATCAATCATAACATTTAGTCTAATACATTCTAATGCCTAAAAACTTCTTCATAGAATTCTTGTAAATATGTACTATTTGATTTAATAATCTCTAGAAATAGATGAGAATACTACCATGTTAAATTTATCCTCAGTTATCACTAACAATGGTATGTATGATACCCAAAATTATCGATTTATCACGTAGTAGTTTCCTGGGCATATATATTCGTTACTGAAGCATATGACACCATTATTATAGGTTCGGACGAGATGCGCTCGGGTCTGTTCGTATTTGATGCAAGTATGTAAGTATGTACACCGGATATAAACACTGACATTCAAAGTATGCATGATGGTTGCTTAGGTATTATGTGTAGTAGCAGGCATCCTTGAGTGTTATCGATTATAGTCAATCCCTGACCGATGAAGCAATTAAGAAATTCAGTGAGAGAACTTATTCTATTAGCCCCGGTGGAAACATTTGTGTGCAGGCTAGCACTCGCCATACTCACGGCCTATTTTATATATTTTGTTATTTATAAGTATTTATATAATTATGAAAAAATATGATTATGTATTTTAAATACATATATATTTAAATATATTGTATAATAATTAAATTAAATTTTATGATACTAAATTTAGAAAAAAAAATTAATATTAAATTAAATAATATATCACAATATACTCTATTCGTCTCATATCTATTTATCTATTTACTCTTTACATAGAATTTTAGAAATATTAATATTATATTGAGATGTAGTAGAAATAAAAGTAAAAAGACTAAACTACCTTTATTAGTATTGTATGATATAAAGATAATGACATTTGTATAATATATTGCAAATTAGAAGGGTATTTGTATTGTTAGGTAGATAGTACCATTACTAAAAAATAAAATAAATAGATTGTTAAGAAACGGATCAAAATGAAAAAATAGATAAATTGTTAAGGAACGGAGGGAGTATATTTTTTTGGAATTGATAAAATGATTTCGAACAAATAAATTTATATTTATATTACACAATTTATTAAATACTTTGTTTCTCCCGGCTAATTATGCATTTTTATTTAGGTATGAAGATTAAAAAATAATACTCCCTCCGTCTCAAAAGAAGTGTCTTATTGAGAGTTGGCACGAGAATTAAGGAATAATAATATTTAATTAAAAATTGGTATAAAGTAGAATATAAATGACTAAAATGCTCTTGTTTTTTGAAGGATTTTAAAGATTATGTTAGAGTAATAATTAGGAATAGTATGGAAAAGTATAAATAATTTTGTTATAAAAGTGGGGACCACGGCTACTAAATAAGGAAAAAGACAATTGTTTTAGGACGAACGAAAATGAAAAAATAAGACAAATCTTTTGAGACGGAGGGAGTACTAATATTTTCATACAAAAGTGAGGTGGATAAGATGTAAAATAAGAGTATTATAAAAATTTTTATTAAAAAAATGATTAAAAAAAATGATGTCATAAGTAGGGGTGGACAAAATATCCGAACGGAACCATTAAACTTCTGAACCAAACTGAATCGAACCAAATTTTTGGTTAATGAGCAAATTCAATTCGAAACAAATACTACATACTTGATATTTTTCGGTTCAGTTCAATTTCAGTTTTTAACATTTTTTATATTTATATATTTATATTATTATATTTTTAAATTCATATTAACAATTATAGTAATATATTTGGATTATGTTCAATTCGATTGAGTTTATAAAAAATAGTAAAAATTGGTTGTCATTTACTAAAATGAAAGTAATAAAATCGTAAGTAAATAAAATTGTTTATTATATATATATATATATGTTTAGCAAACAACTAAAAGAAAGAAATTTGACATAATTATAGCCGACGTAGGGAGTAATATTTTTAGAATGTTATGCAATTTGATTTTAATTGATAAATAAGATAATTTTTTAAATATAAATACAAAAAAATTAAAATATAAATAATTACATTTATAAATATGTATAATTGTAATTATTTTTTTTATTTATTTATTTTAACTCAAGCAAATATACCCATAAAGTAAATAGAAGTATATTAGTGAAACAACTTAAGTAAAACATAACATAATATAGGTAGAGTCGTGATGTCTTGTAAGTATATAAAATAACGTCGGGGGTATTTGAATATAATTTAAGAGTATATCAAATTTATACCAAATAAATTGAAGGGAAAATATAGAATAGGGATCAATATTAAATGAAATAAATAAAGAAGGAAGTACAGATCAATTCTTTTATCATAGAGACTGAATTGAAATTTAATATAACTGACAGGGAGTGGACATCAAGTCTCCCAAAATATTATTATTGTATAATAACAAAAATTATAAATTTAATTCGTGGGATTCACACTCATAAAATGTAAAAGAAATAAAAGAATGCAACCTCTATCATCAATTAGAAGGATGAAAGTTATTATTTTAATATCATATAATATATTTTTACTTTTATTTCTACTATATTTTAATATAATACTAATATTTTTAAACTTCGTATAAAAAGCAAACGGATACATAAACATGAGACGAAGGGAGGGAGGACAATATTATTATTCTTTCGAGTCGCCATCCGCTATTTTCTTTTCATTTTTTATACTTTATTATTATATAAGTGGTGGGATCCACCATATATAGAAAGTAAAAAATAAAAAAAATAAGAAAAAGAAAAAGCTCATGGCATACAACATGGCACACCAAAATTAACGCTAAATATATATATAATATATATATATATAATATATATATATATATTAGATTAGATAATACTATATTAATTCTTTGACACCCTAAGGGAAAGGGATGGAATTTTAAAAAATTTTGTGTTTGGTTTAAATTTTTTGAGAGGAGGGGGGAGGGGATTTAATCTCTTTAAATTTTTATTTCTCTCCAATTCGGGGGAATTTGAAAGAGAGGGATTTTATTAAACAATTTTTATAATATTTTTAGATTTTAATATTTATTTATTTTATTTTTAATTATACGGTATAAATACTAATGTATATTGTGCATATATCTAAATTATATTATATATTTTAAAATATTTTAAATTAAAATTTGCATTAAATTTAGTTATAATATTTTCAAAAAATAAGTATATAATACTTTTTTGAAAAAATAAATAATTTTCAATTGATTTAGTTTTAAATAATTGTATTTAATTTTAATAATTGATTTTATCAAATAAATATATTTTAAAAAATTAATATGATTTTTATAATTGATTTAGTTTATATAAATTTTATCATATCTATTGTTATACTTGTATATAAAATTGTAATTTTTTTTATTTGATTTTAATAAATATTTACGTTATTTAAAAGAAATCACATTAATTTAATTCAAATGCATTTTACAATACTTTTAAATAAATGTAATCGAATATATTTTATAATTAAGTATATATTTAAATTAATTATGTTTAAATGATTTGATTTAATTTAATAATTAAAAACAAGAAACAAAAAGAAGTTCAAGGATAAAGTCAATGAAATTGAAGAGATCAGGAGATGATTAAAAGAAGTAGCGCAGACAATAGAACGCGGTAATGCAATAATGAAAAAAAAAGTTAATAAAAAACTATGTCTAGTTTATGGAGAAAAAACTTGAAATTTGAATAAAGAATGTTGAATTGAAACAGAACGATGGGCTCATAAAAATTATTTTCTTATGAATAATCCAGATCAATTTTGAGCGATTATTGAATGCCCATCCAAAGCACGTATATCGGTTATTATATATATGGTGTTTGATTTTTCCGATTCTTTATAATATATATTTTTTTTATTATATTAGATAAAGAAATTTTGTATTATGCTTTATGAATAAATTAATCAAATTTTATTAAATACTTTTATTTTTCTTTATTTATATAATATAGGCACAAAATAATAAAATTATTTTATTTTTCTTTCCCTCTCTTGCTTCGTCTCCCTTTCTTTCCATACGAACCAAACACACTATTACAATTTTAATATTCTCTTCCGTTCTCTCCCCTCTCCTTTTTGAACCAAACAGACGCTAATAAGTTAGCCCACGGCAAGTAGTCTAGTCAAAGTTACTTTTTCCGATTAAAAGAAAAAATTAATAATCCGGCCCGACCGGAAATCGTAAACCCGGCTGGCGATCCATTGTAATTGTCGACTTCTAGAAACTTCTTTTTACTCTTGGCACGCACACAATGTCAGACTTCCCAGCAAATCCATGACGTCACTCACTTTCTAATTTCTAGAAGCTCCATGGCCTTCAACTCCTCACATAATAACCCACCACTCCAGATCCCCAGCTCCTGGGACCTCGGAAAACCAACACCTTTAACACGTATATAACCACCCACCCTGCCCCTTTCCTCTTCACAGAATCCAAGCGATGTGTGAAATCGAATCCATGGCGGAGCTAATCTTCATTCCTTCTCCTGGAAGAGGTCACTTACTCGCCAATCTCGAAATGGCGAAGCTCCTCGTCTCCAGAGATCGCCGCCTCTCCGCCACCGTGCTTGTCATCCGCCCCTTCTACGACCCCGCCAGCGCCGCCCACTCCTACGCCGCTCTCGCCGGCGACGGCTCCGACTCCAGGATCCGATTCGTCGACATATCCGACCCGGCCGCTCTCGCCCTATCCGACCCGGAAGGCTCAACCTCCCCGTTCCACTACATCGCTAATCACAAGGATCGCGTCCGGGAAGAAGTTTTCAGAAGAATCCAGGACTTCAAGGATTCCGATCGCCGTCTCGCCGGATTCGTAGTTGACATGTTTTGCACGCCGATGATCGACGTCGCCGGCGAGTTCGGCGTCCCAACCTACGTTTTCTTCACGTGCGCGGCGTCGACTCTCGGGGTCATTTTCCATTTCCAAAAATTGAGGGATTCCGATCACCGGGACATCACCAAGTATGCCGACCAGATGGTGTCAGTGCCATCGTTTAGATTTCCGGTCGCCGGAAAATTGATGCCGACGGGACTGCTTGATATTGACGGCGGCGACGCAAAGTTAATAGATCTAGCGAAGAGGTTTAGAGGAACCAAGGGAATCTTGATCAATACTTTCTATGAATTGGAATCTTACGCCATTGATTCGCTTTTGGCGGGCGAAAAGATTCCCCCGGTTTACCCGGTCGGCCCGGTTCTTTCCCCGGGTGAAGATAAGAATCGTAACGATACAATGAAATGGCTCGACACCCAACCAGACAAGTCGGTGGTGTACTTATGTTTCGGGAGCAAAGGTACATTCAAAGAAGTTCAATTAAAGTTGATTGCAACCGCCTTAGAAAGAAGCGGATACAGATTCTTATGGTCTCTGCGGAAACCCCTTCAAAATCAACAAATGTACCGGACACCGGGTGAGTACGAGAATCCGGAGGAAGTTTTGCCTGAAGGCTTTCTCGAACGAACCAAATCCGTCGGAAAAGTCATCGGGTGGGCCCCACAAGTGGCCGTGTTGTCACACGGTGCCGTTGGAGGTTTCGTGTCGCACTGTGGATGGAATTCGACCTTGGAAAGCTTGTCGTGCGGCGTGCCATTGGCGACGTGGCCATTATACGCGGAGCAACAATTGAACGCATTTTTGCTCGTGAAGGAGTTGCGAGTTGCCGTCGAAATTAAAATGGACTATAAGCAGAGTAACAATGTGATCGTAGGTGCCGACGAGATTGAAAATGGAATTAGACGGTTGATGGAGGGCGGAAGTGAAATTAGGGCCAATGCGGAAGCCCTCAAGGCGGAAGCCCTCAAAGCAACGGACGGAGCGGCGGGGCGAGAAAGGGGATCGGCATCCAAGTATTTGAGGCAATTCATCGATGATGCCGTGAAGAATAGCCTACCAAATGAGACTAAGAATTGACGAGTTTTGTGGTCAAAATTTTGTTTGAATTTATTTTGCCTATGTTTTTATAAAATAAATTTAGTTTTTAAACAAAAAGTGTAATAATTATTTTAAAGAATATTACATGTATATTTTCATTTAAAAAATATAATATTATATAATTTAATTTTTATTACTTAAAAAAATTTTAAAATTTCAAAATTTTCTATCTAAACAAGCATTTTTAAATTAATTAATAAAAGCCTAGTTGATTTCAATAACTAATCTCATATTCAAACACGTATAGTATATAATAAATGTTTCTTTCATAGTCAACATAACTACATTCAAAATGAATATATACTTATAGTAAGTTTTTTTAAAAAAAATTGAATTATGTACTTATAGTAAGTAAAATATTGCATCATGCCACAATTTAAAAAGGGCAATACTTTCTGTAGACTTTGTTCATCAAATTCTTTTCTGGTTGATATAATAATTAATAAAAATTATTAAAAATATTTCTATTGTTGTACATTTAGCATACACAAAGGTGCTACGTAATGAATATGTATATTTTTCATTTCTTCATATCAAGGTTTTCGCATGTATAAATATAGGCTGAGTGAAATGAAATTTACACTCCTCGTTCTTTCAATTTCTCTCTCGTCAACAATATTATACATACATAAAATTTATATATGCATACATACATACATACATTAACTAATATATTATATTTACATACTACATACACGCAACACATATATATTAATTACTACTCACGTATATTATATATATATTATATATCATATGTAGAGCTGTTAACGATTCGAGCCGAGCCGAGTCGAGCAAAATTTGAAGTGTTTGTTAACGTTCGCGAACAAGGCTCGGACTCGTTCGTTAAGCTTTCCAGCTCGTTCTTAGTGTTCGAGCTCGGCTCGTTAAGAATTTTTGTTGTTTGAGCTCGTGTTCGTATTTGGCTCGTTTAGGCTCGATTAAGCTTGTTCGAGCTTATTTGTCTTATTTTTTAAAATTTATATATAAATTATAAAGAAAATTTAAAATTATTTTATTTATATATTTTAAATTAATATTTTATTTATTTATAAATTATAATTTTATATGTATATATAATATTTATAATAAATATATTATTTAAACGAACGTTCGCAAACGTTCGCGAACAAAGCTCGGGCTCGTTCGTTAACCAAATGAGTCTGTTTTATGTTGTTCGGCTCGGCTCGTTAATGTTCGCGAATGAGCTTTAACCGAGCCGAATCGAGCCAAACCGAGCCGAGTTCACAAACGGCTCGGTTCGTTTAACAGCTCTAATCATATGTTATAATATTATATATAATATATTATACAATATATAAAATAGTAGTTAGCGGTAGAAGTAATTAATATTTCTATTGGCTAATCCTATAATAATATTACAACACGTTATCGGCACAATTGTGTATTTTAAATTCCGTAAGATAATATTTTATATTTTATCTGTTTATTATATCTAACCTTGCCAAACAGGAATTTCTCCCTCTCCTCGTTTCTAGCCAAAATTATATGGCATGGGCTCGTGACGTGAAAATGCATTTAGCATCAATGGGCTTGGAAAATACCATTGTCCGGGATAAAAATTCTCTGAGCCAAGATCGTGCAAAGGCCATGATCTTTTTGTGCCATCACATCGATGAAGCACTGCAAATGCAGTATGTCACGCTGGAATCCTCACTTGAATTGTGGGAGAAATTGAAAGAAAGATATGATCATTTGAGACTAACATTGTTGCCAAGGGCATGAAGCGAATGGCAAAGCCTACGACTTCAGGACTTTAAAACAGTCCAAGAATATAATTCTGCAATGTTTAAAATAACATCACAGTTGCGCCATTGTGGCGAAAATATATCTGAGTCTGATATGATGGAGAAAACTTTCTCCACTTTTCATGCCTCTAACATGGTTTTGCAGCAGCAGTATTGCGAAAGAGGCTTCCAGAAATATTCTGAGCTGATCACCTGTCTTTTGCTGGCCGAACAAAATAATGAATTGCTGTTGAAAAATCACGAATCTCGGCCGATAGGTACAAATCCATTTCCAGAGGTAAATACAATACAACCGGCAAATCCGGTGCGTGGCCGTGGGCAGGTCAGAAATCAAAGAATTGATCGCGATCGAAATCAGAATCGCGGACGGGGCCGGAAAAACGCATACAGTCACAATAAATATCAAAACAGACCCCGATATGTGCCAAATCGGCATTATAATGACAGAAGGCCGTACAGACCTCAACAGAGGTTCAACACCAAGAGAAACAGAAACAATGACGAGAAATGCACCCGATGTGGAATCAAAGCCATTGGGCCCATGTTTGTCACACAACCAGTCACTTGACTGAACTTTATCAGGCCTCAAAAGAAAGGCAGGGAAGAGTTGCTGCTGAAACAAACCACGCTGCCCACGATGACACATTTGACGATGTGATGAATGAAAATATCACGCACCTGGATGCCGATGATCTGCTTGACATAGCTGATGATGTTAAATGATAAAATATTGTTGTATCTCTTTTGTTATTTTACTACTTTCTGCCCCCTTTTTTTTTTTGTATTATCCCTTATAATATATGTCTATTTTGATTATGTTACTAATACATGTCTTTTATTATTTTTACCTTCTTGCAAAGATATGGATGCCAAATTTTTTGGAGCCGATTACAATATCTTCCTTATCGACATTGCAATGACTCACAACATTCTGAAAAACAAAAGTTATTTATCCCATTTGAATATGGGAAAGACCACAATTGTTACTATCAGTGGTGCATCGAAAATAATTGAAGGCTCAGGAAAAGCTATTGTATATCTCCCAAAAGGGACAAAAATGACAATTGAAAATGTCTTGTTCTCGAGCAAAGCTCGAAGGAATTTGTTGAGCTTCAGTGATGTTCGGAAAAATGAGTATCACATTGAAACATTAAATGAGGCAGAAAATAAGTATCTCCTGATAACTCAGATTGTGAATGGCAAAATAATCGTAAAAGAAAAATTGCTATAATTTTTTTCCGGCTTATATTACTAAAAAATCATTGTCATTGAAACATATCACCTAGTAGATCAAATGGCTACTAGCGAATTTTAAACTTGGCACGATCAACTTGGGCATCCTAGCAATGTAATGCTAAGACGAATTGTTGAAAATTCAAATGGCCACTCATTGACAAAGAAAAATATTTTGAGTCCGAATGAATTTGCTTGTACTGCCTATTCCTAAGGGAAGTTAATAATCAAGCCATCTCCAACAAAGGTTGGATTTGAATCCCCAGTTTTTTTGGAAAGAATATAGGGTGATATTTGTGGACCAATAGATCCACCGTGTGGACCTTTCAAGTACTTTATGGTACTAATCGACGCGTCAACGCGATGGTCACACGTATGCCTGTTATCTACTTGCAATCTAGCTTTCGCTAGACTACTTGCACAAATAATTAAATTGCGAGCACAATTTTCAAATCACCCAATAAAGAAATTACATTTAGATAATGCTGGAGAGTATTGATCACATACATTTGATGATTACTGTATGTCAATTAGGATTACTGTGGAACATCATGTTCCTCATGTACATACGCAAAATGGTCTGGCCGAATCCTTTATCAAAAGATTGCAATTAATTGGTAGACCATTGTTAATGAGGTCTAAACTTCTCGTATCATGTTGGGGACATACTATATTGCATGCAGCAGCCCTCGTGAAAATAAGACCGACAAGTTATCACTGTTATTCCCCTACTCAATTCGTTTCTGGAAAAGTACCAAATATATCTCACCTGCGAATTTTTAGGTGTGCTGTTTATATACCAATTGCGCCACCTCAACGCACGAAGATGGGACTTCAAAGAAGGTTGGGTATACATGTCGGGTATGAATCACCCTCGATTGCAAAATATCTTGAACCAACAACGGGTGATTTATTTACTACAAGATTTGCAGACTGTCATTTTGATGAATCTAAATTTCCCGATATTAGAGAGAGACACTAATCAACTGAAAAAAGAAATTTCATGAAAATCACCACTTGAATTTGATCCTCGTACGAAACATAGTGAACTTGAAGTTTAAAGAATTATGCATTTGCAGAAAATTGCAAATCAATTGTCTGATGCTTTTAATGATGCTGCCAGAGTTACGAAATCATATATTGCAGCAACAAATGCACCAACCAAGATAAATATCCCAGAAGGGAAAGTGTCGAGTGCTAATGAGCATACTGCCCGCGTAAAACGTGGCAGACCGTTGGGTTCCAAAAAGAATCCACGAAAGAGAAAAATTATAAATACTAATGAAAATATCAACAATGATCAGATAACTGAAAAGGTCAGTACAACCTCTGAAGAGGTTGATACTAAAAATTCTGATGAAAGTGATAATGAATTTATTGAAACTTCCATTAACTATACCACAATTGGAAAATATTGGAACATGAAGAAAACAAATATTGATAATGCATTTGCATATTTTGTAGCACTCGATATAATGAAAGATGTCAAGGATTATTAACCAAAATTAGTTGATGAATGTCGGCAAAGAGATTATTGGGCAAAATGGAAAGACGCAATTAAGTCTGAATTGGACTCATTGAAAAAATGGCAAGTTTTGTCCCTATAGTCCAAACACCTGAAAATGTGAAACCTGTTGGTTACATATGGGTGTTTGTGAGAAAAAGAAATGAAAATAATGATATCACAAGATATAAAACAAGACTCGTAGCCCAGGGTTTTCCCCAGAGATCGGGTATTGATTTTGAATAAACATATTTGCCGGTCATGGATGTAATAACATTCAGGTATCTGGTGAGCCTGGCAGTACACAATAATCTTGATATGCGATTAATGGATATGGTTACTGCTTATCTTTACGCCTCTTTAGACAATGACGTCTACATAAAAATCCCAGAAGGAATCAACATACCTGAATCATTCAAATCAAAGCCAAAAGAATCATATTCCATCAAATTGCAAAAATCTTTGTATGGGCTCAAGCAATCGGGCCGAATGTGGTACAATCGTCTCAGCGAAAGCTTAACCAAAAAAGGTTATATAAATTATCCTATTTTTCCATGTGTTTTTATAAAGAAAAATGGGTCTGAATTTGTAATCATTGTTGTATATATCGATGATCTCAATTTGATTGGAACTCCTGATGAAATCCAGAAAGCTATTGAATATCTGAAAAAGGAGTTTGAGATCAAAGATTTTGGAAAAACTAAATTTTCCCTTGGTTTGAAAATTGAGCATTTGGAAAGTGGATTTATCCACCAATCAAATTATACCAAAAGGGTACTAAAACAGTTCATGATGGATAAATCACATTCGCTAAGTACCTCAATGATCATCAGGGCACTCGATCCAATAAAGGATCCATTTAGACCAAAAGAGGAAAACGAAGAAACATTTGGCCCTAAAGTGCCATATATGAGTACTATAGGTGCATTGATGTATCTTGCTAATAGCACCCGACCTGATATATTATTTTCTGTAAATTTATTGGCAAGATTCAGCTCATCGCCTACTCGACGACATTGGAATGGGATTAAACACATTTTTCGCTATCTCCAAGGAACAATTGATCTCGGGTTATTTTACTCAAAAAAATTTTGACATGAATTGATTGATTTTGATGATACAAGATATTTATCTGATCCTCAAAGCCAAGTCTCAAACTGGCTATATATTCACTTGTGGCAAAATCGTGATATCTTGGAGATCGATGAAACAAACTTTAACTGCCACTTCTTCAAATCATGTTGAAATATTGGCAATACATGAAGCTAGACAAGAATGTATTTGGTTGAGGTCAATGACTCAACATATTCTGAAAAATTGTGGGTAAATACCTGACAATAAAATTCCTCAAACTACATTGTATGAAGATAATACGGCTTGTATAGCCCAATTGAAAGGGGGTTACATTAAAGGAGATAGAATGAAACATATTTCACTAAAATTCTTTTTTACTCATGATCTACAACAAAATGGTGAAATCAATGTGCAACAAATTCGATCAGATAATAATTTGGCAGATATATTAACCAAGGCGTTACCGATTGCAACATTAAAAAAAATTGGGATGCGTCGATTAAGGGATCTCAAATAATGCTCAGATCAGGGGGAGTGAATTGATACAAGAATGTTGTACTCTTTTTCCTTCACTAAGATTTTTTTGTTCCACGGAGGTTTTTCCTATTAAGGTTTTAACGAGACACATTCTTTGTATAAAAGCATCCAAGGGGGAGTGTTGTACACGTAGCACACACGAAGGTGCTACGTAGTGAATATGTATGTTTTTCATTCATTCGCATCAAGGTTTTCGCATGTATAAATATAGGCTGAGTGAAATGAAACTCACACCCCTCATTCTCTCCATTTCTCTCTCGTCAACAATATCATACATACATAAAATTTATATATACATACATACATACATTAACTAATATATTATATTTACATACTACATACACACAACACATATATATTAATTACTACTCACTTATATTATATATATATTATATATCATATGTTATAATATTATATATAGTATATTATACAATATATAAAATAATGGTTAGCGGTAGACGTAATTAATATTTCTATTGGCTAATCCTATAATAATATTGCAATATCTACCTCATATTATTTATCTACTTACTTTCTCTTTGTTTCGTGACAGATAATTCATTTTTTTTCTTTATTCATGTCAATGATTTTTTTTTTTCTAATAAATTTATTCATATAAAATATATTTAACAAATATAAATTAATTTAATTAAATTTTTAACTTTTTACACGTATAACTCACTCAAAACTCTTTTATTTTTACTTATTCTCTCAGTAAACAAATATTTTTATATATATATTTAAAACTTTAAATTTTTTTATAAAATTAGCTTTAAGTTAATTATAAATAAATAAATGCATTTTTATTATATAAATTTTATTATCTACAAAAATGATATCCATATGACATATTTCATTAAAATATACTACTCATATAAAAAAAGAATAAGATAATATCATAATTTATTTTTAATAATTCACTAATCTATATTACTTTACTGTGTCCATAATCAAAGGGGTCATCTGACCTGAGACGGAGGAAGTATTATTTTTGTTTTCACCCGCCTCATACTATTTATCCATTATTTTTTAGAAAAATAATTATACATTTTGATCGCATTTTAAATTTCGTAGTTATAATTTCAAATTTTTATCAAATCAATTAATTCTTTTTGTTGTGAATTTATTTTCGGATATTTTGGATTTATCGAACATATCTTGTATACAAAAATATGACAATGAATTAGCGGAAGTGAATTATCGAATAAACCCAAATTATT